TAGAAGAACTACATAATGAAATCTCCAAGTTTATAAGGGCCAAAGGCTCTTTTCCTTACCAAGAGGAGAAGCCCCAGAAAAATATTATATAGTAGGCAAGAAAACATTGGGGTTTTTTTGTTTTGTTTTGTTTGAAATGGAGTTTCGCTCTTGTTGCCCAGGCTGGAGTGCAGTGGTGTGGTCTTGGCTCACTGCAACCTCTGCCTCCAAGGTTCAAGTGATTTTCCTGCCTCACCCCCCCGAGTAGCTGGGATTGCAGTTGCCTGCCACCACGCCCATCTAATTTTTGTATTTTTAGTAAAGATGGGGTTTCACCATGTTGGCCAGGCTGGTCTCGAACTCCTGACCTTAAGTGATCCACCCGCCTCGGCCTCCCAAAGTGCTCGGATTACAGGCGTGAGCCACCATGCCTGGCAAGAAAATGTTTTTCAAGGCAAGAAATCAGAACATAATCTGGCTTCAGCAAAAAATAATCCAAACTGCATTTTGCAAATAAATTTCTGGCCCCAAGTTTTCAGTTACTAAACCCAAAGAGCCATTTTAAATCCTATCAATTTTGGGCTTGAAGAAAGTGAGAGACAACCATTTAATCCATATTATAGATACGAGAACTATTTTGGAGAGTTTGTTGAGATGCATATAAACTGAGTTATCCAAGACCTCCTGAATCAAAATCTCTTGGTATGAAGTCAGGAAAAATCATCTGCTTCTTGAGATGTTTAAAACAAGCTCACCAGGTGATTGAGGTGAACATAGTTTGAGAACCCCTAGTCTATCTGCTCAAGAGACCAAAACAAGAGATAATAAATGGCTTGCACAACAGCGCATAACAGAATCACCTAGAGCAGGGGTCCCCAACCTCCAGGACTTGGATTGGTACCAGTTTGTGCCCTATTAGGAACCAAGCCACCAAGCAGGAAGTGAGCAACAGGTGAGCATTACTTCCTGAGCTCAAACTTCTGTCAGATCAGCGGTGGCATTAGATTCTCACAGGATCTCGAACCTTATCGTGAAGTGCACATGTGAGAATCCAGGTTGCGCACTCCTTACAAGAATATAATTGATGCCTGATGATCTGAGGTGGAACAGTTTCATTCTCAAACCACCCCATCCTCATCACTTATGGAAAAACTGTCTTCCACAAAACCAGTCCCTGGTGCCAATAAAGTTGGAGACCGCTGACCTACAGGGTTTGTTAAATATAAATTTCAGCCAGGCACTGTGACCCACACCTGTTATCCCAAACTTTGGGAGGCTAAAACAGGCAGATTGCTTGAACCCAGGAGTTCAAGAAGGCAGGTCAACATTATGAAACCCATCTCTACAAAAAATACAAAAATTAGCCAGGCATAGTGGCATGTGTCTGTCATCCCAGCTACTCAGGAAGCTGAGGTGGGAGGATCGTTCAGTGAGCCAAGAACATGCCACTGCACTCTAGTCTGAGCAACCAGAGTGAAAACAACAACAACAACTCTGAGCTCCACCCTCCGAGTTTCTGATTCGGCCCAAGAATTTACATTTCCTACAAGTTCCCAGGTGAACTTTGCACTGTTCATCTGAGGACCGCACTTTGAGAACCTCTAGTCTCGACTAGAGTTGTTACAGACTTCTCTCTGAGTACATCAGTTCAGTGTGGCGCTACATACATCCTTAAAGACCAAGACAAGGGTATTTCAGAAAATGATGTTAAAAAATGAAAACATGACCAAACTTAAATTATATATATTTATTTTAGGTCATTCTGGTCAATTAGAGCAGATAAAAAAAAAATGGAAAAGATCCAAACTATGCTAGAAAGAAATTATAAGGGCCATAGAATATGTGAAGAGACAAAAATAGATGAATAAATTTAAAAGACTAAATTTACAAAAGAAGGTAGAGAGAGATAACTTAAAAATCGATAAAAAAAAAGATATGTGCAAAATGAACAAATTTCAGATTTAGCATTATGTAGGTGGTTTGATTATTTGAGTCTTAACAAGTCACTTTTTAGGTATCTTTTTGTGTTATTTACTAAAACAGTTTTGAGGCTAGATTTTTATTCAAAATCATTTTTGAAAATGGCTTCCCACCGGCTCCACACAAAGCCAGGGAAGCCACAGAGAAACATTCTTTACTAACCATCCCAATTCTGCATGACTCAGACATTCCCAGCATTACATTAGAAAGGACAGCCTTCTAATGCTGTCATAACTGCTATTCTTTTCTCATGTAGACGATTCTTAACCCTGGAACAGCATATTCAAATAACAATTCTCTCAAAACAGTTCAGAATATCTGTAATTGTCTGTACCTGCTATTTGTCTCACTGTTCTGAGAACACATCCAAAATTCATAACAGATGAATTCTACTGACAGCCACTCCTCAGGACTATCATACACATTTTGCATCATACTATCTTCAAGCTTTCAGAGTCCATCTTCAAACCCATTTTCCACTTGTGCTCCTTGTTATGCTACCTTTAGTATCCACCATCATTTCCTCAGAAGAAAACAATACACCCAAGTGTTAGATCCTTTCATTATCCAAGACAGTCCTACAACCACCTTAGCTGCTTCCTCTACCTTCTTAGTATCCTTGCCAGGCCTTTCCCTTCACACATAGTTGCTTTTGTACTCTTCACACCCCACTCCCAACAGTCTCCTGCACAACCCAAAATAACCTCACATCTAAGGCAACAATATTTGGTTTCTGAGCTTTTCAAAACCAGTATAATGTCATTCTATTCATACATGCCACTTTCTAAAGCTAAGAGGCAAGAACATGTTCCAAACAACTTCTATTGCACAGACAGGTGAATGGTTGTAAATAACTATAGATTTTTCCCAGGATTCACGAGAGGTTAATTCTTTATCATAAGAATGTTGATTCTACTTAGGACCTTGAAATTAAAACTCCCTAAAACATTAGAGGATCTCCCATTGGTTGTGTGACATGGTAAAAACCCCATAAAACTGGACACCTCAACCATACCTCAGCTTTCTGTTGAAACTGCTCTCTATAACCCAAATGTGAATAAGTAATTAAGGACTATAATCACCACCTTACCCAGACAATGTGTAAACAAATGCTAATCTTGACTTTTGTAAATCACTTAAGTAACAACCAGAATGTCAAAAAGGTCCCTGGCCCTCAGAATGTCCGGAGCCCCTCACCCCATCTTCACCCAGGAATCCAATGGAATGTCCGGAACCCTCTCACCGCCACCACCCCCCTCACACCCAAGGTGATTTTTACGGGTATAAAAGGGTCTTGACACCCTCCTTTCGGGGCGCCCCTCACCCCATCTTCACCCAGGAATCCACTGGAATGTCCGGAACCCTCTCACCGCCACCCCCGCCCCTCTCCCTCACACCCAAGGTGATTTTTACGGGTATAAAAGGGTCTTGACACCCTCCTTTCGGGGCCACGGGTTGGAGAGACGTGAGTCCTCCGTGGCCGCCGGCAATAAAGACCCTGTAATTTGGCATACTTTTGTCTTGGTGTTGACTTTCTGTGCTCGGTCCAGTACAACAGTTGGAGTTAACTGGGAAAAGCCCTGTAACAGGGGACACACACACACATTCCAACCTTAAGACCAAAACTCAGAGTTCATCAGAGTCAAATCTCAAATTTAAGAAGTCATTATCCAACAAATGACTAACACAAAATTTAAACACAAACTCAATGCTTATTAACAATTATTAAATCTTAGCCTAAAATGAGCTCCAAATTTATGCAATAACACTTTGTTCCTGAAATATCTTAATTAGAAACAGGACTTCATGAGAATTCCTACATGGACGTAAAACAGCTATTTATGATTATCGGCTTTTCTTTTCCTTATTCTAAACTGTCTAAAATGACAGGACTTGGAAGAGTAGAGGAAAGGGGAGGTTAGGGAGAGAGTTGTTAAAGGATACAAAATTACAGCTGGATAGTTAACTATAGTCATTCTAACATGGTATAGAACAGGAGAACTTAATCCTCCTATCTATCTGTAATTTTGGATTCTTTAACAAATCTTTCCCCAACCCTCCCTTCCCCCTACTTTTCCCAGAAAAGCACACAATCATAAATAGCTGTTTCGTGTCTATACAATAACTACACTAAATTTTTTAAAATACAAAGATCATAGGTAGAGGTCTGATTTTACTGGATCAGGTTGTCAATCTCTGCTGACATTCACCTGCAAAATGCAGATATCCAAGTCCTGCCCCTACTATTTTGATTCTGATTTTGATACATTAGTTTCAGGCCTACTAATATGAAATTTTTAATGTGTATTTTTAACAAGCATTCTAGTAATACTTTGGGAAATACTGCAAAACACTTCCCTCAAGAAGATCATTTATAAGAGGCAAATTAGAAAGCCTTAGAAGCATATCTAATAAGGAAGTTTCTGATTAACATAGGAACTCTACTACAATACTGACAGATTGACTGATTGATTTTAATAAGAAAGAATATCAACATTTATACAGTCAAATAAACAGTATGTGCCTCTGTAAATTATGTAGCCTGATCAATTATTTTAACAACACTACCATTGCTTGAAACTCAGAGTCACTTCTCAGAATTTATTTTCAATACAATGTATGAGTCTTCAAATTACAAAAAGAAAAACTGGTTTTCTTATGTAATTGCTCCTTCTGGGTTTTGATCAAAATTAGAGAACCGCAGGTATGATCATCACCCAACCTCTAAATAAGTTAAGACTTTTCCTAAATATATCCTTACAAGGTTGAGATTTGCCACCAGAGAAAACAGGACGCTTAAAAGAATGCTACCAGAGAATCAAGAGGCAACTCTTAAGATTTTTTAAAATGCTTTGCATAGAGGATAGAATATAGCCTCTCCATAAGACTACTTTAAACAAGATAATGTTCACTCGGATGTGTAAGTTCAAGCAGACTTGCTTTAAAAAAAAAAAAAAAAGCAAAAAAAAAAAAAAAAAGTATAACATATTATTGAGCACTACTGAACACATGTCAATAATAATGAGAAAAGAAGACATTACCTGGGGCTGCTGTCTTCAATAGCCTACTGCTGGGTTGTATTTGCTCACTTCACTCTTCAGAGGAGCGGAAAAGATTTCTCTAGTATTTGGCTCTGCTGGAAACCCCTAGAAGAAGACTTTAAAAATCTATGGAGAGAAATAAAAATAATAATTAATAAACTGCAAAATCCAATCTGAGTATCCCTATTTTTTCTCCTCTCCCATTTACCACTACATGTTGTACACTGAGTGGGTTCTCCCAGTGTGCATTTGTCTTCATCATAAAAAATAAATAAATAAGCAAAAAGCAAATGTTTATTTAGAAATCTGAAAGCTAGCCAAAAATGAGAAACTCCTGCTGGGTAACAGAAAATAGAAAAGGATTCTTCCATCTTATAAGAGATGGCAACAATTATATGCTTCTTTTAGGAGTGAAAAAAAGTGTGAAAGTAAATCCACATCCATGGGTCAACAGAATCACATTAAGTTAATAATGATAGTATAATATAAAATAGCAAAGAAAGGAGCACAAATAACTTTTACAAACAATTTCCAAAAAATGCACAATATTCCCAAATATTTCCAGGTAACTCTGACCTATCAATCTAGATACTGACAATTGAAAGTTCAGGTTTTTGCAATCCAATGGGCAAAGTCTACTTTGGTCTTAGACACACATCTCCTATCATCAGGCCTAACTGGTCTTAGATACACATCTCCTATCATCAGGCCTAACTGTCACTATAACACAAATGTGTGGCTTAATGCCTACTGTACAACCAGGAAATCATGAGCTTGAAGAGAAGCGGGCTAGTAAATTATCCTATCTGGTAGAAACACATAGAACAAAACCTAGAGGTGTCCAGGACAGCAATAAAAAGATTTAGAGAGACTAACCCTTAGCAGTTAGGCAGAAGCTAACATAAATACTAAACAAAACCACAGGAAGCCGCTATTCAACATCACAATAAATGGAAGCCAGAAAAAAAGTCCAAGAAAGCACATTTTTTAAGGAAACAATAAATACTATACTTAAATTAAAACATGGAAACAGGCTGCTTTGCTTATGGAGTAGCCACTCTTTTATTCCTTTACTGTCTTAATAAACTTGCCTTCACTTTACTCTATGGATTGGCCCCATATTTTTTCTCGCATAGGTGCAAGAACCCTGTCTTAGGGTTTTAAAAAAAATAAACATAGAAACTATTTAAATGCCAATAACTGAAGAAGTCAAGTAAACTTGCCACAACTACATAATTTACTTAATCACAATTTTGTCAGCCATTAAAAACTCTTCATTCCACAATCTGTATATATAAATATACTTCAAAACATCAAACCATGATAAATACATATACAATTTTATGTCAATTTTTTTTTTTCTTTTAAGACAGAGGCTCACTCTGTCGTTAGGCTGGAGGGTAGTGGCGTGATCTTGGCTCACTGCAATCTCTGCCTCCCGGGTTCAAACAATTCCCATGCCTCAGCCTCCCCAGTAGCTGGGAGCTAAAGGCACTCACCACCATGCCTGGCTAATTTTTTGTATTTTTATATTTTAGTAGAGTCGGGATTTCACCATGTCGGCTGGGATAGTCTCGATCTCCTGACCATAATCTGCCCGCCTCAGCCTCCCAAAGTGCTGGGATTACAGGTGTAAGCCACCTCTCCAAGATAATTTTATGCCAATTTTTAAAGTAATTTTAAAATTAAAAAGAAAGATGTTATAAGTTATAATAAAATGGGAAAATGTAGTTTATAATACAAAGTGGAAAGAAAAAGCAGAGTATAATGTTGGAATTACATGTGATCACAACTACTTATGCAAAAGAAAAAAACAAGATGCAATTTCTTCTGATATAGTTTATAAATATTAGGTTAAATAGTTCTCAACTTTAGATGGGTTGAGGGGAGCAATTCAAGTCGGTCCTATACAACAAGTATGTCTTTTCAAAATCTCTACACAGCCAGGATTTCTCAAGCCCCAAAAGGTACGCCATTCATTCATATAATAATTTTTCTGCAATAGTCCAATATCATAAAAGATGGCCCTAGAATTCTCTACAAAAGTTGTGCCCACCTGGGAACTATAAGTATCGCCTCATAACCAAATCTCTGGGCTTTAGTCACAAGAGGTTTTACAAGTAACAGAATTCCACCTCTTCCATATCTCACATGAACAGTTTTATCATCACCAGCTGGAGAGATACAGACTCTTTTACCTACTCTTAAGAATTACAGATTGCTGCCAGATGCTTTTCAGGTGATTTCAAGCCTTTTCTCATCTTGCAACTTGTGAATTATGAAAGGGCATCCCTAATTCATGAGAAACAGTTCTCCCATCTCAGTGTCCATTATCATATATCCTTCCCTTACACTCTACAATTTTAGGCATTCGCACACATATGCTTTTACTTAGGTAATAAGGCATTGCTGGGTATCAGTTAAGAGTTTTACTAAGAACCACTGTTAATTTTACCATCATGATTCTGCCAGCAGCAATGCTTCGGGACTTCAAAGGAAGCCGAGTCCTTTGAGAGTAATGCACAGAATGACATGGATAGCAAGGTTAAATGGAATTCAAGTAAATTGAAAGAAGTCTCTTAAAATTCACTGGTTCTTGATAATTCTCTTGCTTGTCATCTCATTTAAAAACAAAATATGTCTCCTGCTAAAAAGGGGGGAGTTGGCAGTTAGCAATTTAGTCACACTCAAATCTCTCCCCAGGCAAATGCTTTTCTTCTAACAAAACATTCTACCTCCACATAATAAAATCAAATTCAGGCTCACAGTCCTTCTGTATAATAGCTATATCACATCCCTAATTTCAACAGAGGAACAAAATATAAAGCTCATTTCCAGATGGCATAAATTCAGTGAATTTAGACCTCTACTACGTCAAGTTCAGAAATAACGCTAATGGGCAGAGAGTACACAAAAGCACAGCAAAACCACCAAATGAACACTTTGTAGGGGTGGGGAGAGAGAATTAATATCTACATCATGGATTTCTCCATACATCAGAGAAACAAATGGGTGTGCGGAGCACTTTTATACAGGAGGTGTGGATTACCCATTGTATTAATTGATCTGTAATAAAATCAAATGCTTTCCTGGAGGATAATTAACCAACCAATCAATAAAGAGAAAAGTTTCAAACAATTAGACAAGTTTTCAAATACATGAAGCTTACTATGAGCTAATTATTGAAAGATTTCATTCTCAAAAACGACTGAACTGGGAGAGTAATACAATAGATTCACATGTGAAAACTCCCATAGTAGAACAAAACATTCTACACAAGTCCACAAACTTCACTGGTTTCATTAAGCACACTAATAATAACTTAAAGTCTTAAAATGGATGGACCCATATGGATCACCTAAATTCATTCCCTGGGTTTTACAGAGGATAAAACTGAAGCACAGGGAGGATGAGTGACCTGTTCAAAATTAAGTTGTGGTAAAAGACAAAGACAGAGGTAGGAGCCATGTCTTCTAACTCCCACAGTAGTGCTGTCTTCTCCATGTTAAGCTCACAATTCCTCAACAATCTACCTATTAAGTTGATTTCATTCCTCCTCTCAACAGCAAACCTTCTAAGGCTCTGGGAAAAGTTGAACCAAATGAAGCTTCAATCTTCAATTTCCACTCAATCAATCCCTGAGATTTAACATTAATTACATACAATTCTTTTTTACCCAAGAAATTCAGTGTAATTTGGATGACTTTAGGAGGGTCTCAACCACAAAACAAATTCTTGAATTGGAGCATATCACAAGGGAAGGAAAAGGAGGCAGGCAGAGACCACGAGTATCTTAGAAATACACCAAGAATACTGATTTTGGGAGGGTGAGGCGGGTGGCACCTGAGGTCAGGAGTTCAAAACCAACCTGGCCAACATGGCAATCCTGTCTCTACTAAAATACAAAAATTAGCCAAGTGTGGTGGTAGGCACCTGTCCTAGCTATTTGGGAGGCTGAGGCAGGAGAATTGCTTGAACTCGGGAGGCAGAGGTTACAGTGAGCCGAGATGGTGCCGCTGCACTCCAGCCTGGGTGACAGAGTGAGACTCCATCTCCAAAAAAATAAATAAATTAAATTAAATTAAATTAAAAAATGAATAATGAAGGTGAACAAAACCAAATTCTAGTTTTAAAGTGATGCTTCCCAATGTGACAACTACTCCTAAGGTGTTTTTTTAAAATAGTCATTAAGTTTCTGTAATTAAATAAATTTGGGAAAATGCCACATTCTAAATGTACCTCTTGAATATTTACAAAGCACATTATGTATATTAAGACTCTAAGAAGGCCTCGTAGAAAAGAAGCCTGCTCAGTTTTGTTTAGCCCAATATTATTTGATATCTTTGGTTTGCTGAGCTAGTATTGATAACCTCCAAGAAACATACTTCAGGAAGTATAAACAGCGTTCTTGGTGAAAAACCTAGTCTGACACTCATTAAGCAGTATTTATAATAAGATAGCCTCCCTCTTCCAGACTCAGCTGTTAAAAATCAACTCGTGAGGCAAAGGAATCTTGTTTTTACAATGAAAATCACCACCACCACTAGCAAGTAATAAGTGCTAAGAGCAAGGCATGTGCTACATGCAGATTTTTTTTGAAAAGAGGCTAGGCATGTCTTTAGCCACCAAGTTCTCTTTCCCAGAAGTTGTATTTTTTCATACATAAACAAAACATCTTGTATATATCTTTTTTTTTACACAAAAACATATTACACTGTTTTATACCTTGCACTTTTCAGCAAACAACATGCATTGGCAATATTTCCAAATTGGTACATAAACAGAATTCACTGGTGTGAATTTTTATGACTGCACATTTTCGAGTGTACAGCTGTAACACGATGTATTTATTCAGTATCCCATTATGAACATTAGGTTGTTCCCAACCTTTAGCCATTATAAACACTAATACAATGAGTATCTTTGTACATAAATCATTTTCTCATGCATGTAATAAGTATGTATAGTATATGTAGAATACATTCATAGTGTGTATGAATGTACATATGTCTAGGACTGTGTTTTTGTATCTAGGATAAATTTCTAAAACTGAAATTCCTAGACAAAGGAATATGCAATTTTTCATATTATAGATTTTTCCAAATTGCCCACTAAATAGACTAATG